CAGACAATCCCAAAAATAGACAAACAATTGTGGGTCAGAATGGATGTGCAGATGGGAAGAGAGGGAAGAGAGGGAAACCGCCAGAGAGAAGGAAATTGTGTGAGAGGGGAAGGTAGGCTGATGTCACATTGCAGAAGCGTCCGCAGGCATGTTAACTAATCTGCACACTCGCACAAATACAAGTGAGCATGTTTGTGTGTGTACATGCATTTGTCCTACATCTGGATTTGGCGATGGAGGGATTTAGAGGTATGGATAGCGTGCATCCGTCTACTCTGCTTTGGATTGAAGTTTGTCCTTCGTATTCGTTGAACTGCTGGGCAGTGCTAGTCTCCAGTCACGCAAGGAACGATGGACACACATGTCATACACTGCATGGGTTTGTGTGCATGTGTGTAGTCAAAGATTAATCTCTGTTGAGGGAGACTACAGTACAGTGGCGTCGCAGTGAGATGATGCAAGGTAAGGAGAAGAACACGAAAGCATGGCACATGGAAGGGAGGATTATTCATGAAAAATGAAAGCAACAAAGGTATTAAGAAAAGGTATTAAGATGTAGAATACTGAGGAAATGTGGGGAGCGATATGGAGGAGAAAAACACACACAATGCAGCAGGAAGACGACAGTACTTGAATTTTCCTAATGGCTTCCCCCTATTATTTGAGACAAAGCTGTCATTATAGTCTTGAAAGACGCAGACAATTCTTAGCTTAAAACTTCTTTAACCCGTCTGCAGACCATTTGGGGTTCCATCGAGAAAGTTCAGCGTACAGAGTGTCATAGAATGCGCTTTTCAGGAACGAAATATAATGATGCACACACGTTATATACCCAGTCAAAGAAAAAAGTCTGGGCTACAAGATCCTGCAAGACATTTTTACATGCTCCAAAGACAATTCTACACAACTAATATAAGCAACTAAAAGAATTACCACAATATCACGTATTTTTCGCCATGAGTCCGCCGGCTACGCACTCCGGACAAAGCTACCAAGCCAAAGATAAAAGCTAACACGGACAACCGAGGTATCAGAAAGCAAGAGAATTTGACACAGATTCCACAGATATCTTCCATATTACTCTCCGTGAAACCATTACAGAGATATCAGCCAACAAGCACCAGAACCACAAACTGCTTTATCGATAATTATCGGAACGCACCTCACCTCATCGTCGTTTTCGTGTAGAGAACGGATAAATTCCGGGCTATTCCTCCTCAAAATCTGTTCACCGGATGTCCTTGTTTGTCATAATTCTGTTTCCGTGAAGACAGGGGTGGAATTTGACCCGGAGAAGCCGGGGGAAGGGATTTGACTTTCGGCGTATCGGATTTTACGCTTCACGAGAGACGGCGCGTTTTTGATTCTGACTGGCTAAGAGTGCATTCAATCTTTCCCACGTTGCCCCAGCTCAATTCTATAGGCTGTGACACGTCGAAGGAGGGTTCATTCACTGAAATCGACCAATGGGCTGCTGACTTAGGTCTACATAGACGCAGAGAAACTGCAGTCAGACGAGAAAGCTCCATGGATCGCAGACACAGACAGGGCTCACAGAGGATTCTGGCTCTCAAAATGAAGCCAAACTAATGTATTTGGATAGATTGAACACTATTAGTGATAAAACAAGTGAAATATATAGTTATATCGTATATAAAATTACAATGGAACAGCTGGTTCCAAAATGACCATTTGGGTGACCTCGCCTGACCTCTCTGTACTAAAACCTCTCTAATTTTGTTCTGCTTCACTTTATCAAAGTCAAAATTTGCAGAGACTGTTCACATATTGTGCTATGATTTGGGGGAGGTTTTAGACTTGCAGCTGCATCATTCCAAAGAAATAATAACAATAAAAGTGCTTTTTTTTCCAGGCGAACCTGAAACTTTTCAATTTGAGCTGTGTGCCATCTTTATTTACTCTTAACCTGTAATGTATACACTGATATTTACACATCTGAACAAATCTCACAAGTGTTACCTTTATTATAACATCAAAATGATTAAAATAGAACTTGTAGTTGCAGAAATACACTCTTTTTAGTATGGGTATGCAATTTTCGAGCAGAGGCCTAAAAATAGGGCTAGGGTTAAGAAGGTTTAATAGTTGTTTTTATATGTTCTTTTTCATGTTGAATAAGCTATTAGTCAGTCATTACTGGAAACTGACACACAGCAGTATTCATAAAAACACCTGTCTTTAATAAAGAATATATTTGAGATCTCTGCCTAAATGTATTCATCAGACGGGGGACAATAACACTGACCAATTTTACTCTGTATTTCAATTACATTCAATAATTGATTAGTTGAAGAAACCCTATTGTCCTCAAGGGCAACCCTTTTCTCTCTCAGTGTCCACATTCACATGAATTAGAAGCCTGATATTCATATTGTCTCCCTGCTAATTAATTCAGGACTTTGAAGACACTGTGACGCCCACTGGAAATTGATGTATGAATCACTCCTCAGCTCAGTGCCATCAATAAAAAAACTCAACTGGTTGCTATATTTATTTGATAGACAGACAACAAACAAGTTGACAGAGCCAAATACCAAGAGCACCTTGAGGTGGGCAGAGCAGGGAGATTTATGGGGGGGGGGGGGGAGATGCGGCATGTGTTGAGGGAGGGGATGATCCCTGCTCAAACCAAGTTCATCCCTGGGTGACACTGACCGACGAACGGACTCAGTGTCCACATTCGCCCACACCCCTCGCTCTGATGTACTCTATTTCACCCTCTGCTCCCTCATTACAACTATGACACTATGGGTCATTCATTGGCAGACTCTGATCCAAGCAGAGCTCATTACCTTGCAAGCATCACTAATACCTAGCAAGCCCCTTTCGTAATTATTTCTGTCTGCAACCTGACAAATTACAGGCTGCAGCCCCATTTCCAATCAGCAGAATGAAACCAACCCTTTATGGTTACAGGACAATATCAGACAGTTTTTGATTGTATACCAATACAGGAACCATTTGATGATTAAAGACGAAAACGAAAGCCTTATCGTTCCCGCATTTGCATCATTTAAATATGCATTTTTCGCAAAAAGGAAACAAAAAAATCTGTAAACAGCAGTTGGATGTTGAGAATGAGTTTGTTTCTTATATTTCGCCAAACAGCCTGAGGTTAAAAAGCCAAACTGATATAGAAACTGACTAGAATTTATGGTGATATACTTCTAATGAATACATTTAGTAAGAAATGCAATGCCATCCAGGAATGTTGTTAATAAATGTACAGTCTAAGTGAATAACGTGACAGACATGGTTACTCTTAAACCAAAGTGTTTTTGTCACCTCAAGATGGGAATCCCCGGGTCTCCGGTGTCACAATCCTGCGTATTGAGGCATACTGACCTCCTCCCTAACTACTGTGCAGTAGATACATATTCCTTCAGAAAAACGTTGCCAGAAAACAGAATCTAGGCAGCAATTATATATATTTACCCTTAAAAAGCAATTGGCAATGCAAATTAGCTCGAGTTGGATTTAAAAATTAAGGAGGCAATTTGTTTCTTTACCTGCAATGTTAAAAAAAAGTGGTTGTGTTTTTATTAAACTGATCCAATATTAAAACATAAATTACAAAATAAAGATATTGTAATAATTTGCCCTATAGTCAAGCAAAACCATATGAAGCTTTGATAAATAAAATGAACACTACTTTTGTATATTAACGCCGTCACAAGTTAAATTATAAATGACCCCCAAACCCATATTCCACAGGGCCGTTCTTGAGTTCCACAGCTGCTATGCTTAGGGTAAATGGCTTCCTCACTCCACACAACAACGCATGTCTATTAATGCGGTCAGAGCCTGGGAGGGTTACATCATTAAAGGAAACACAAGGCACTCATTCACCGTCAAAGGATCAGTCAGTCATGAAGTCATTTCTCTGCTAAAATCATACAAACCCATGAAGCAAACCTCTCAAAATAAAATATTGATTCAAAAGACAGTAAACAGAGATTATGCTCTTATCTAAAAATGCATTTACATTATTGAGCTTATCAGGGAAAGGCTGGGAAGCAGGGAAAGGGATGAAAAAAAAGAAAGAAGGAAACGGGGTTCGGATCTCAAAATTGACCTGAATTATGTGCAATATTGCCACACGGGAGAATTAAGCACGTCTCTGTGCATGTGTAGCTTCATCTCAGCACCTTCTTTAAAGACCTGCCAATCTCATGCAGCTGAAATTCACTTTTAACTGGCATCTGTTACAAAAGTCAGCGAGATGAGACAATAAATGCTAAGATTCCCTCAGTAATATGGGAACGTGTTCAGGAAAGTACAAGGACAATCATCTCGGCATTATCAGTGAACTGCGTAGGAAGTAAGCTGGATTCATGCCCTCTCTAACTAATGTCTTTTAAAAACATTATGTACATTTTAAAGAGAGGATAGTAAGACTATTAGACTAATAATAGAGTATTTTCACTGAAGCATCGCTCTATGCATGTCATTGAAAGCGTACCTGAGAGCACCTGGAGGAGGACTCTGCGGTCCTCCTCCACTTCAATGAAATCAAACTCTCATGAAAGCCCTTCAACTATGTACTGCCTTTTAGAAATGGCACATATTTGGACTGGCATGAAAAACAATCATCCTTACTATCCATAAACACAACATTGCATTATTTGTAAGATCGATACAGCGAAGTGGGTACAGCACATAAACATTAGATATTCATATATAAGACTTTTCAGATGGCATTCACATCTCAAAATCTTAAACAGATGGAAACTCTTTAAATGAGTTTTACTTTCGATCCATTAAGAGTTTTTTTAAATTGTTCAAGTGGTCCACACCTCAGTTTGGCACACTCAGTAACAATTTATCAGATTTGCTGTTGTACACCATACTGCTTCTCTGACAGTGGCAAGAAACATTGCCTTTTCCACATTGCAGCTTTCCTCCCTTGGCAGTGCAGCTATAGTAAACTGAAAAAGGGGAGGCCTGAGGGTGTTGGCCTCAGTGTTGGCTGCTCATACCTTCTGTGTCCTGGCCCCAGCTGTGGGTTAGCAAAGAGAGGATTGCCATTCCTGTCCCCAGCCATCTGACGAGCCACCACCCCCGTCGCATCTTCTGTCAAGCCTTATTGCCTGCCCACCTGGACAAAACAAAAAACGAGAGAGAGGATTTTTCATTCATTCATTTCTCATTTCATGCAAGCCCTCCAGCCCTCACACACACACACACACACACACACACACACACACACACACACACACACACACACACACACACACACACACACACAGTGACCAACACATCTACCTAAAACATCATCATGAGGTTAAAGAACACATTCATCTGGGAATCCAATTTTGTTTACAGAAAATAAAATAATCCGCTGGATTATCTGGATCAATCGAAATGTATGCAGTTAGTTCTGGATTACTCAAAAAAAAAAGTAATTTCTTTATTACAGCAACAATTTGATTCCTCATACATGCAGACTTATTCGTATTAACCGACATTACGTAATTTGCATTGTCTCATGGTCTGAGCAGTATATCAGAACTTCATGGATACCAATGTGTAACATCTCTGTCATTTAATTTGCTTGAGAATTTTTTTTTACGCAAAAACATTTTCCTGACTTTTGTTTGGAGAATTCAGCGCAAGGAGCACTCATTTTTCCTTTCCCTAACAGACAATGGATGAGTGTTTAGTGTGTCACCAATGAGAGCATGATGGGTCTTAGGAGGTGTACTCAGCTGAACACTGAGCAATCAAGAGTCAATCTGTCTTGTTACCCACAACAGACATGCCACCACACAACGGTTTAGTGTTGCAATTCCAGATAGCCAGCTAACTAATAAGTCAGCTAACAAATGCATCTGCTGGCAAGCTTGACTGGAACGAATACAGACTGGAATGAAACCAGTGTGCTCAAGTGAAAGCCCCATGAGGTGCATTAGGATTTATAATATTGGGCTATATAAATAAAATGTACTTGACTTCACAAATTTTGGTGGAATATGACTAAATACAAGCATGTTTTAAAATAATGTAGCAAGTAATGCTTGAGGACCTCCCCTAAAGTTTTGATACTACTTCTGTCTAGAATCCAACCACAGCCTCCATTCTCAAAGTCCAGCAGTGCAACGTTGTTTAAAGGTACTATACGAGTCTACAGCAAGGGAATATTTTGCACGCGCAAGAAGAAATACATTTCGTGTGGAATTTAATGGCATACCACAAAACATCCTCATCAGAAGTTATGACCTTGTATCAAAACAGTCGTACGCAGCCAGCGCCTAAGAATCAGAGCAAACTGCATCAGCTCCAAACATTATGACGGTACCTGGATCAAACTGGCTCTAATGAAAATCACCAGCAAAGCATACAGTTTGTATGTGAAGACTCGGGCACAGACAAATCCGTAGCACACAGCCTCCACTCTGAGCTTTAGGAAACCAAGGTGTCAGGAGGAGGAATAGAGGGGATTTCTGTCTGTCTGAGCTATTTGATGTCACACCTTCCTCACAAGGCTTACTCTCAGAGCAGGCGATAAGCTGTGAAATCAGCTTTCATAGCATATGCTAAAGGGACGGGAGGGGACTCACAAGTATCAACACTATCATATCAAAGCATGTTGAACAAAATCTAAATCTTTGACTCGTGCTATCAGCACTCAGTGATTCCTCTCTCTTTCTCTCTTTTTTTTTTTCGCACTCACTTTCTCTTGACCACGCATTGTACATACTTACTGGCTTTCTTACAAATCTGTGCAGTCGTCCACCCAAATAAATTGCACCCCGCTGCACCCAGTGCTCCCAAACAACAGACATCTTACGTGAACAGTCTGTGGACGGCAGGAGACAGCTGTGTTCTCTTCTCTTACAGCGAAACAGGAGCGATTTCACACTGGTTCCCTATTTTCTCACTGCCTTCTCATCTCTCTGGCTCCCAGTGGTGTTCCCTTTTGAAGCGGATTTGATTCCCCACATTCGTACATCTATCTTTCTTAACAGGGCTGAGTGAGATCGCTTTGATCCTTTTCACATGAGAAAACGCAGACCTGCACAGACAGCCACCCTGAAGAGGGAAGTCGTTTCCACAGCTTCCTCCAAATCTCCCCTCAGTTGACATGGGAACGCTGTATCTCATTTACATAGGCCAACAACGATGTTCCTTCAAACTTAATGAACAGAGAAACTGGAGAGATTGTTGACTGGGTGCTGAAAGAAAGAATGGCTCCAATGCTCTGTGTCTAACGCAGTCCTCTCATTGCGGCCCATAAGACATATCATGAACAGATATCCGTGTCTTCAGCTTTCATGAAGCTCTCAGCGCAACAGGTCAATCCCACTCTGCTCTACGTCAACGCATATCATTTCACCGCAATCAAACCACAGCTCCCTCCAAGTGATTCTGCCAAATGAAAATGCTTGCCTATATCTTCCATCATATCTCTTTGGTGAAGGTGGGGATAAGTGGTTAAACTTATGATGCAGGGGGTGAACAAGAACAAGCAGACAGTGTTTAAGATAGGGTGTGGAGAGGCGAATGAAGCAATCACAGTTATGGATTACTCGAAAAGTCAAGATGCCCTAAATTGCAGGGTTTTTGCGCTCCCTGGAAGAAGAAAAAAAAAAAAGCAGCTTGTCTCTTTCTTTCTTCCGCTGTCTGTGTTCCTTCGATCGACTCTCCTCCGGCATCGAGTTCTTTTTCCACCTCTTCCTGTTCATGTGCTCTGGTGTTGACAGACTGTCAGAGATGTCTCGATAACAGAAATCACAACTTTTAACTCTGAAAGGCCAAGCAATGCTTTAAGATCTTTTCATTAATGGCACAGTCGCAATGAACACCAAACAGATGCACTGGAACATCACCGAAGGTTTGTTTATAAGTTTGGTGAAAAGTGACAAAAAAAAAAGTTACAAATCAATTGCTAATTTGTCGTCGTCATTAACTGCTGAAAGCAACTTTGTGATTTTACAATCGCATAAATGCCTGACGCTGGATAAGCCAGCTAAGCTGAATTGTTTCGACTGGGCCTGAAGCTCGTGCTTATGGGATCTCAGTTTTTTGCGTCCAGAGTCAGGCTGTACCAGACTCGCCCAGTGGTTTTAAGGGTGGAATTTAATCTTTAATCTTTGGGCTGTTAAGCCACCTCACCCTCCAGCATCTCCACGTAGCTAGCAGCATGCACCTTCAATGTTGATTTTATAGTCTGCCAGCAAAGAAGGGTGAAATGCTCTGAAGCAACCTCTACATTTTGAAGCAACACATTTAATTTTTTTTTACCAGTTTTGTTAATTGATGTTTCATTTCCTCAAGAATAGGTAATAATCGTTGGTTATCAAATCGTCAGAAATAACCGGAAAATGCATAGATTCCTGTCGTATAAAGACACACAGATAAACAATACTATATACTGTATGTACACAGACCGATCATGCTTACTGTCGTGCATAGTCACCCCCTAAAAGGCCCACTCTGAGCCAGCAAATCACTCAAACGTGGAAAAACGTGTCTTCCAATTCACAAGTCAGTGAATGAGAGTCAGTAGACTAATAAGAGTTAGTTCAGGTGCTGCTGAGGTGCTCCCCCATGTGCCATCGCACTGGAGGATGCCATCTGAACAGGACACCATCGTGACTGGCTGGATTTCATCCCCTTGCCCATTTCCCTGCTTAGAGCCTTGCTATTATAGTCTCTGAGGTAAAAAAAAATTGGTTGTGACCCACCGTGCTAAACAAACAAAGTGTTTGCCTTTACAAATTGTTTCATTTTCTTTTTACTGACTTTTTAATTTACAGAGCTTTTGAATCCATATTGACAAAATAATTAAGTTAAAACTAGTTTGCACTGAAAAATAAATAAAGAACATTTTTGAATATGATAAATACTAATGGGTGAAAAGGTCTACCCTGCACAGCTTGGACCTCTAAAAAGAAGCAGCAACATCCTTTCATGTGTAGACTGTATGGAACCTAGTAGTGCTGCTTTGTCCCCATGAATTGTATTGTCTGTTTTATGTCAAAATAAACCCATTCAGTTTTGCGAAATGTGAAACTGAGCTGGTGACAGTGAAGTAATGACACCTCGCTGTTGTTTTCCAACCGTTAAAGTGGAGGTGTGGAAGCTGCTCGTCTTTGATAACTGGCAGTGGAGGATTTTTTAGTGGGTCACAACATGGTCTCTCAAATATGTAACAGTGCAGTTAACCACTGTAGCAGAACAAAATGGACTAGAGGTAGAAAAGCCAAAATCCACTTACATCTCTTATCTTGACTGTTACATATTTCACTTTAGTCTAAATACGAGTGCTGGGCGAAATTGTTCAAATCCTTATCATTGTACTTACAAGATTAATTACCGATAGATACACATCATGATGCTACAAATGTTAGATTATTAAAGCAAAGAACTGTATTCCATCGTTATGCATTACATTAGAACAAACTCTTACAACAACAACCAGTAATTGTACTTATTTTGGAAAATTTGTGATCAAAGTTTGCTCAAAATCACTGCTTTAGAAATCACAAATGTGTAGATTAATATCATGATCAGATTGTTACAACACAATATGATTCTGTTAAAGTCGATAAAAGATCATACTGAGTTACTGTTGAATCTTATAACTTCCACGAACAGGATTTGACTAAATTTAATAAATTACATTTTCTACCGAAGACCTGATGGTTAAGGTGCATACCACAAATACAGCATTACCATGTTACTGTGTTACAAATTGTGGACACATCAATAATGAAAATAATCGAATTGCAGATTTATTTATTTTTTCAAATAAATACTTCAATACAGCAAGTCTCAGTGTTCTGCCAAATATCTATTTTCAAAAATAAGCGTCATAGTTATGGTATAATAAGCTTATCTAGGTTGTGGAAGGCAGTTCCTTGGAATCTATAACTGAGCTGAATATTCAGGAACAAAGTGACTCTATATGAACTAAAGAAAACAGGTAAATTCTCCAGAGATTTGACATCCTCATCAATCTCATATCAGCATCCTCCCTTTAGTGCAGGTAATAAAAATTGCGGACTCATCAGTGTAACAAAAGCACCAGATTGCATCTTGAGTGGCTCCTCCCCATCCCCACTTACAGTGCAGAGCCATGTCATCCGATTGATCAAGTGACCAAACGAAAAACAAAGCACTATAAATTATGCAAAGATCTAAGTTATAAAAGCCTTGAGATGCCAGCAGCACATGGGCTCATACATTAGTTATCAGGGGACACTACCCATAATGCAAGAGTGCTCAAACAAACTGCAGCACAAGGACTATTTGTTTAATCACCATGTTTACAACTTTATTACAACCCAATTAGAATCATAACAGCAGCAGACTGTCCTGTAATGTTCATATTTAAAACACCTGCAGGAAACAAACACTGTCTTTTTGCAGGAACACAGGGAACAATAAGTTAAAATGAACAATGGATTGTGTTTTGTACAGCCAATACAAATCAATTAAAGATGCTTTTCAACCAACTTACCAAACAAGCAGGCAAGACAAGAATTTGAACAATATAATGTAAAATTATTATGAAAAAGGGACTGGCAGCTCAGCAGTCTTTCAACACAGCAAGATGACTCCTTTCTGTGCATAGGTTCTGACTTTTGCAAATGCATGCTGGCTCCAGCTCGGCACTGCTAACGAGGCAAATTCACCCTTTGCTAAGTCCCGCCCCCGCTGCTACACACAGTCAGTGACAATGTGGGCTCCTTGGTAACTAACTGCACTCTATGAAGAAATATCATCTACTTTTTGGAAAAACAAAAAAAGGCTATTTTAGAGAGAAGCGGTCTATGGTCTATAATATGCGTCTGAAGGATACGTGCAGGATGTCAAACTGATTCAGCAGCCGAAACAGGTTAAAAAGATAAAGACAGAATCTAAAGCCAACAGATCACAGTGTAAAAGTGAAGGACCACATCACCCGGCGATCGAAACAGAAGACAATGAAATTAAGATCAGCACTGTTCCTTTAAAGCCGGGTAGGTCTTTATTCACTACAATCATTAAAAAGCTAAAGCAGCATACATTCAGTATACCTTCAATACCTAGCAAAGCATACAAATGCTAATGTTAGTTCATGATTTGCTGAAGTGCTCTGCTAATGTTGACTCCACAGGTTTCTAAACTTAATATTTTAGAAGCTTGTATGTCCGACTAACCTTTTTGGGTAATGAGTATAACTTTGACTAATATTTATCCTTGACTCGCATCCAATCCACAAAACCAGCCTGCAAATTGAGAAAATCTTAAGTAAATACATACAGCTCAGCCACACAGTGTCATATTCAGACTACCACCGTTGTTCAGCTACTTCAGCATTTTGATAACTGCGGTAGGTTTTTCCTGTTGTCACGTGGGTCTGTCTGTATATATACATATATAAGTAAGTACTACGTCTGTTTGCTACAGAGATTATTTTAATCTCTAAACTAGTCATGGTTAAACATAGTGATACACGCGACCCAAAAATCACTGATCTAAACACAGAACGGTACGCAATGGTACTGGTCTAATAAAAAAAAAAAAAAGAGCCACATAGTGCATCAGTCATCACAGGTAAGGTAATTACCAAAAAGTCCCAATAAATGACATCACAGGTGTGTAATGTCTTACCTGGGACTGTAAGTTACTTGGCAACAGCAAGCAAAATCAAGCACGTAATATACCCGTCACAGTAATGTAACACCAGGAGCTCAACTCTAGTGTGTAACTCAAAACTAGGGAACGTAAACGAGAACCTGTTGCCTCTTTAAGCAAGGTCATACACAGACACAAACGGACACGTACACCAAATTCCGCAAAAAAACAAACAAACAAAATGATGAATAAATAAAGCAAATGTCAAATCACTTTGGTTAGGTGTGCTAGACCACTGGAGAGCTATTTATTAGCTACTGTGAGACGTAATCAGTGGAAGCAAGGGAGACCCCGTGCTCTAATGATGGGAGTGATTAGCCCGAACAGACCGTCCTGCACATGGCTCACACCCAGCTAGAGATAGCATTCAAATACAGAAAAGAAAGCAGGCTACACATCCAGTCAAGCAGCTGGAGCTAAAGTCTTATCTCTCTCTCCGGTCCATAGATACCAAGGAAATCCATTAACTGATTAATGTAAGGTATTCGATCACTGAGACAAGGAGACTTTTGAGAGGTCAGTGTAACTCATGCGTTGCACTGCTGGGCCAGACTCTCCCTTCACACTCTCTTCACTCATTTCATCTGCACCGCAGGCAACATTAACTTTAATATGAGAACTAAATGTTTCAACTGGACTTGACATCTGTAAACTGCAAATGTCATGCTTGTGTTTACTAATCTAGCTGGTCAGAGATGTTTTGGAAGGAAAGGAAACTACTAAAGGGATGACTGACAGCAGAGATCCAATGGCCTCACTTGCTGCTGTTTAGAAAACACCTTTATTAATTTGCTCTCAAAGTCACAGTGAAATGAAAAATGGCTTTTACTCTTCAGTAGTTTTTCCATTTTCCATGCCATCATACACACCTATTCAACAGTAAATTCCTAAGAATGTGCTTACATTTTCCTATCGAAATCTCAGTTTTACTTCCTCCAAAATAGTGAATATTTAATGGTTTATGTTATGGCAAAAAAGTATGCCCAAATAACTTCAATCAATATATATGTTCAAACTTATTATTATTATTACCTGCTGCAATGGTTGTGGATGCAGTAGCCGACAGGAAGTAAACTTGTTTAATCTACTGTCAAATTGTACTACAAACTGACACTGTTGTACTAAGCAATTAGGAATTCATTTAAAATAAAGTGTTGAAATATTTTTTTATCTCCGCCAGGATGATCATGCGAACAATCGCGTGTGTGCATTTGTCGGTGAGTGTGCACCTCTGTGTCTGTCCACATATTATATGACGTGTCCTATATGTCGACATTGAGCCGATTGCTTGCATACATAGCGTGTTTTTGAGTTTTAATGAAATGTGTTTTACAACACTTTGCAGCCCATTGGTTGCGTACAACCCAAGCTATTTTCTGGCTCACTTATATTGCTTTTTACAGTTTGTTTGACAAACCACTAATAGCTAACGGAACTACCAATACACACACTGCTGTACCTGCAACTCAGCAGCAACTTTTTGTTTTTGGCAAGATTGTATGACATGTTTCAAACAACGACTTTGAGACTTTTGCTTAAATTTAAATTAAGTGTTTAACGATGCCTTACAGGCTATTTGTGTCTAGACGAAGGTTTAGCCAATTGTGAGTTGTATTCATTCAATCAAACAATACCGCAGTGGTTCTTCCAGACACATGAATCCAGCACAGCTACATACACCAAAGCAGAGCTATAAATACAGAGTGTAAATATGACAATCAAGCTTAATTAATTGCACAAGCCACAACTGTGTGTAAACTATCTGTGCAGTCCAATCTGGCCCTGATACAATTGCACAAATATTGTTTTAGCCTGTTCTTAAAGGTTGCATTCGTATCTTCTTAAAGCACCAAAAGTAATCAGGATTCACTCGATCAATACCAATAGTATTTGTATCTGCGGCAGTTTGGTAATGAGTTGTAATAAACCCCCATTGCATTGAACTTAAATTCAATTTACTTGTTTGTCTTCAATCACTAACACTGCAGGTGATGATGTTACTGCTATTATGACGAGTGATTCTTAACTGAGTGCTCACTGGATTTATGTGGCGGTGGGAGCGAGTAGCCCTCAGTGCAAACAGCATCCTCAATGTTCACTTGACACAGAAATGATAAGCTATTATGCAGTTGGTGTTCATTTGGTTTCCCTAATTATGTAACTACGTTTTTTTCAGCCCACCTCTGACAAGGAGTGCATTTTATCATGTTAGGGAAGCGTGCTGAGCGGACTGGTGCTGATTCGAAACACAGACATAAAAAGTTGGGGGTTGGTGTTGAGCCTGTGTAGTTCGGTTGGAAACACTGACCCTAATGGGAAAATGTAAAAACACCATTATGTGCTTTTGCAGTGCTGCTAGCAGTAAACGAAAGATTTACTGTGGGCCTCAAGTGCTCTCATGATTATAGTGATGGGCTGGGATGGCTTGATAAACCCTGTGCACCTGTTTATGCAATGTACTTTCACAGACAAAAAATATGCTTGTTCTAAGTAGAAGAACAAAGAGGAAATTAGCGCTCCACTGTGTGTTATGACTGTTGAATGTCTGGATGACAAAGAGGTATTCTAGATAACTGACAATGATGAGTTAATTAATAAGTAAAGATGTGATGTTAATGAACGGTATCCAAGAATATATCAGAAAGTTGTGTATAATGGTTAGCCTCACAGGCAAATCATCTAGACATGTCCATTGTGCTCTGGCTGTTTAATGTTATACTAGTCCTCCCTGCAATCCTTAAAACTGACCAGCACACCAGATAGCCTCAAATATGTCCATGCCTTGCAGCGACGATTATTTTATTGAACAATAGCTCTGTCGCTGCTTCACAAACAAAGTCTTCTGCTTATGGAAAGCTTTTAATGTGAAGTAGCATAGGAGTGAAAATATCCTTCAAACCACAGAGATTCAGTTAGAACCTAAAAAGTACTGAGATGTGAATACAAAGACTTTAATAAACAGCATTTTCTCTCTGACCATCAACAAAGCCACACATGTATTGAGCCAGTTTAGCACAAGACAGAGCTTTGGTCTGAAGGCCATGCTGCCTAATAGGACCACAATAGCGTGGATCGCCTATTTACAATTGTGTGGCCGCAGTGGAAACGCATGTATTCAGTGCTTGGCGTGGCAGAGCAGGTCTTTGACAAGCTACACCAGGCCTGTGGAAATACAGCCAAAGTAACAAGCAGGTATCTACCCTGGTAAAGACCAGGTCCGTTTTAATGATGTGGAATATAGTGTAGCAGAAACGGTTAAGGTAAAGCTACAATCAGCAAGGGGCTTTAATCATACATTATTGCACATTTGGATAAAGGCTATTACATATAATAAAGGAAAGCAGAATATCATATGATCAGCAGTAATTAGAGGTTGGCTTTTATGTCGCTGAATTATCTGTCGAGAAAAAGTGACAGCTGCAGGACATGAGGGAACTTAAATGAGGAGCTGGCAGGGGGGAAGTCAGGATGATGTGGATGAAAAGTGTATATGAGGGGTGCACTAACATCTTCTGTGGTATATATATATATATATATATATATATATATATATATTATTTTTGTTTTGTTGAATAAATTAAAGGACACTGCATAAAACAAACTAATTAAAAACTGAAGCGAAATTGGACCATATACACAAAAAGCACAAATCAGCACTAGTACATACATCATTACAATGTTCAAAAAGACCATAATTGCACACCATAATATCTCTGTGATTTTTCCTCTCATTTACTATTGAGGAACCCGTAATAGGAAGCTGAAAAGTAGACCCACATGCAGTGCAGTAAGTAGATAATGTCAACAGAGCCCGGTGGTCTACTAAACCTCTCATTTTCTCTAATTCAGAGCGAACGAGGCACAGATCTCAGAGGGTCTAATCCCCCTGCCTTAGTCATCTCATGACCACATTTTATATCTCTAAACCCTCACTGAGCTCAGTCCATGTGGGTGCCACCACCACTCTGCTCTGTCTGCTTAGCATCAACAATGCCCCATCCACGTCACAAGGCGCACAGCTCTGCACAATAGGAACATGGACTTAAACACATGCAGCTGATGCCAGACAAAAGATTTTGTTTTTGACTTTTTGTAAATCTTTCACTTTCAATGGGCGACTTTTAACACCCGCTAGCATGGCTGTGATGGTCACAAGGTTGCTCTCTGGAATGACTAATCATTTCATAGTGAAATAGAATCTATAAAGGGAATGGTTAGAATTCTGAGGCAGGTGGGGATTTTTGGTGCATTTATCTAGATTAGAAATATTGTCGGGAAAATAGATATATTGTTCACTGTAACGATTCACCAGCCAGGCTGGTCGATATTAGCTTATTGCAGATATATTGGTATCTGTGTATATGTGGGCTAATAAGTAACAAGAAACTGCAGTACAAAAATACCAAACTAGGATTGAGGTAATATATAAACAGTGACCAGATTATTGTTCAACTTTAAAATCCTCTAGTCAGTATGCATCTTGGTCTGAATAAAAAAAATGAACAACAAACCTATACTGTATTCTGTTTATGTTGTATTTATGAC